TGTTGTATTTGATAATAGTAACAGTGATTCTTGTTAATCTGTAACTCAGTTCCATTCCTCTTGTAAATGCCAAGTCTGCACAGTGCATCCTCATGACTTTCTTCATCTTTAACATTCTTTACTTCTACAATATTTTGATCATCTATTATGCCGTCTGGAGAAGCCCCCAGAAATGGATGAGACTCCGATAAGACAAATCCAGATTTGGAAACTTTGAGTCCTGTGTCCTTCTCAAATTCATTAATTATCTTAGATTCTGCCTCGATGCCTTCTTTCATGGCCTTTGTTGTAACACGATCTTTGTACATCAAAACCTCCGATATGGCTTTTGTTGGACYAGTTGTTGGTCTGATCAAACATCTCTTGCACTTTGACGCAGTGATTCTGCTCTTGCGTACATCAAACCTTGTCCTTGTTAAGTGCTGTTCTTTGGTTGCTTCTAAGATATCCTGTCTGTCTTTTACTGAGTCAAATAATCTAGTTTTAGCTCTCTGTGATTTCTGTTCTATGTCATACATTGAGAGTGGTGCAGTTTTGAGAGGAGACACAATGTCCCATTTTGATAGTTCTGGTGTTGAGTGACTGTAGTTGGCATTTCTGGAACATCTTGTGGTATTATATAATGCAGTYCAATTTTAGTTCCTTTTTTCTTTTCAATTAATTTGATCTTTTCTAGCAATGCATCAAAATCAGTGTCTGACTTTTGGTTATTGTGCATGGAATTTACTGTTGCTGATGATGAACATTCTTTTTCYTTCTTACCCCACACATGCTTGACAAATTTAATAGACTGAATTGTAGCAGTTTCTTGCTTTCTTTTTCGGGGGATGCTCCAAGTACAAGGTTTCGATGTGCAGGGCACATCTTCATTCAGTTTGTTCTCTTCACCTGCATGTATCTTTTTGCATGTATCTTCCATTGCAAATAAAGTGGCAGCCAAATGGTTACAGYRGCCATCATTCCCTGCAGGGCAGGGACATGAGGCTTGTTGAACTTGTGAATTTGCATTCATAACTATACGAACAGTATAGACGTTTCCATGTGTAGAATATGAAGGCCTTACTTGGCTCTTTACGTAAAACTTTCCTTGTTCTTGTTTGGTATAAATACCAAGCACCTTGCCTGATTTATAAAAATTATACCCCTTTACAATGGGTTTCTCCACAGATAATTGTTTCTTAAACTCAACATCGTCAATCAAAAATTTCCAGATTTGAGAATAGCCAACATTAATCCCAGACAATATTCCAACATTGAATCCCTCCGTGGGAAAGTTAATGAGAGTTGTTTGTTCAGCTTCTTGTAGATTAAGTTTCACTCRCTTATTCTGGAGATTTATTCCACCATCAGGATCGACAAGATTTTTATCTAGACCAGACGTAATATAGTCATTAACCCTGACAGATAATTAAAGAAATGTTAAAACAGAAGTGACTACAGTGTAAATTTAAGCTTTGTTTCGTTTCGCTGTCAACTGACCTTTTGATTAGCTCATTCCTTTTCCCACCAACTTTAGCTCCTCTACAGCTAAGCCAACGTTTTAATATGGCTACAGTGCAATGTTCAGGAGGTTTTGGCAATTCTTGTGTCTTGACATAAGTTGGCGATGTGTTCATAATAGTCTTGAAGAGTGATGACGTCACGCATAGCGAGCACAATGCATTTTGGGATTACCATGGGGGTGAAATCCGCCATCTTGGATTGGCTTTGCAAAATGAAAACAAATTGTTGTGTTCCTGGCTGTGTAGCCGATAGCAAGAGACATTTCCGTTTGAGATTCTATTCTTTACCTACCAAAAAAGATTTAAAGCGAAAATGGGTGAAGTTAATACATAACAAAGCTTTGAAAATGAACTCTAAAAACACGAGTGTGTGCAGTCTTCATTTTAAATCAGGAAGAAAAACATAYGACACGAACGTGCCAACAATACTTCCATGGAATCGCGAATGGGCGGATTTAGTTCAAAYGTTAGCGAAACTGAAAAGTGGTTTGAAAAACAGCAAATCAATGATCACAATTATGCCAACAAACCACCACGGCTAAGTTTGACTCCCATGTCTARCACAACGACAACTCCACGTAAAAGCCGAAACTCTCTCAAAGCGCAAGAGGTAAATTTCTCTCTCCAGTATTATAATTTAACATTTAATTTATTTTGTGCATTCSTTAGTGTAAAATTATATTCTTTTATCTAAAGAACTAGTGCAGCGATATCAGAGTTTTTTCCTAACTTTGATCAAGACTATTTTGCTATTTTGTCTATTTTGCATAAATGTTTGATATGTACATTTAATATTGCAGTCCATTGACATGGAAAGTGTATCCATAGAAGTAGAAGTGAATTCTGCAGAGCCAGTACAACCAGGGACGTGGGAAGAGATGGACTGGCAACTGAATAAATTAATAAATTATCTCGAATCAATGTTCGTTGCGCTTCGCGGCTAATTGATTTTTGGCTTACCATGACAACGGCCAGTAAATACTCGGTAATTCCTGGGTCGAGTGCTAGTCACAACACGACATAACAAAAATGGCGGACGAGAGTGAAGACTTCGACAGTGATGAATCGTTTTGTTTGGAACTAGAATTGGATGAAGATGACGAAAACTGTAGCGATATCGACGAGGAATGGGACTCGCTAGATTTCGAAGAAGTGGAAGAAGCTGAAACGCATGATAAACCTTTCGCTTGTGATTTTTGTTCTAAGCGTTTTGTCACTCGGGGCTGGCTAACTCGCCATCTGTCCTTGAAACACAACCAACAAGGTTTGTAGCGCCTTTAAAAGGGTTATTATATCCGCTTTTTGGAGAATTTTTATGTTTGTTAAAGCAGTGATTAATTGATTGTTGTTTCATATCGCAGCGCAAACTTCGACAACAGAATTAGAAACTGGAGAAACCGAGCAAAACAACAACAGCCATCGCAACAAGATTGCTTATGCAAACGGTATGCTGCTCTGTTCATGTTTAAATTTGTGTATAAGGCTTCTATAATAATAACTCTCTCTCGATTTTTGTCACTAGGAAGAGTTGCACGCTATAGTATCGTGGAGGCGAAGGAGGATTCAACAGAGCTTCTGAAGTCTGTCCTCTGTAAAGCCCAAGAATATGGCCCCTTCAAGCTCAAATCACAACGAAAAGAACCTTCAAATGGCAATAAAGCGAACGAACTGGCAAGAAATATTTCCAAATCATTCGATGAGAGTGCAGAAAAGTTTGCAAAGAAAGCAGTAGAAACCTTGTGGTCTGCAGTAATTGCAGGTGATAAATGCAAAGTCATCTCCTCTGCGTTTGAAGCAGTAAATACAACGTTTCACAATGTAAGATCCTCTAACATGTGTATAGAACTCTGGAAAACACTACTGAACGACATGAACCTTGGGTCAGGAAGCAACATTCTTTGTCAGTTTATTTATGATGGAATTTTTAAGGAACTGTTGAACCGAAGAGAATCCTCTATCTGGAATTCTGAACAACAAGCGACAAAAGAGAACACCTATGAACTTGACCACTTGGAGGAAAATGCACTGCACTATGTGGCAGGGTATATACCACTAGCTATTAAACGGGATGTTAACAAGTTCCACCCTAGCAACACTAGTCATGTTATCCATGTAATTGATAAATGGATCATATCGTCAGACAAGAAGGGTAACTGTCCAAGTTCATATTTGGACTATACTACCAAGTGGATCAAAGCAGTTGATAGAGGTGGTCTCACTCAAGTTAACCACAATTTCTACTTGTTTGTACGCCGCATTGAAGGTGTTTTCAGGCAATATTTGAACAACTCTTTTCTGATAAGTTACAACGGTGGAAGCATCAAGGTTATTATCATAAATGAACTGCTGAGCTCAAAAAGTCTGATCACGACATGGGGACAGATAGTTGGAAGTATCAACGAGGGACTAAGTTACAAACTGTTTAAGCATATTGTTACTCTATATGTGGATATCAGGGCTAGAGCTTTTGTGGAAGCTTGGCTTCAGAAAATGCGGCATAATAAGAAACAGCAGGTTTCGAAAAAGGGAGAGCATGGACTTCGCAAGGAACTCCAGAAATCAGGGTCTGCAGGCAGAACCCAATAGAAATAATTTCCTTACATATATTGTTAAGAAATAGGATATATTCTAGTATTTGGCTGTTATTATATTATTAGTATTTGGCTGCTATAATATTTTATTGCACACAAAGAATCATTTTAAAAGGTCATTCGTTTATTTACACAGGGATGTATAAGCCTTTCATGGGCACTTACAAGTTATTCTATAATAATATTCATTGATAATTATTATCAATGATCAAATTTTTGTTGATAGTTCTTTAATAACAATGGCTGAACATTTTTTAAGAGTATTTAAGGATATCAACATAATGAATGTTCCTTTACATTTTAGGTGTTGATGAAAATAAATTATTTTGTAAAAATAATGAAATTGAATAAATTATAATTTGTATTTAGATATTATTCTAGTCTTAGTCTCAGTTTCCTTCTTCTTTTCAACGGAGTCGCATCATCAGGGGCAAGTCGTTTGGCTCTCTGCTGGTCTCTGTTTCCACGACAGTTTCCCCGAGCAGAGGAAAGAGCACTTGAGCCAGCAACRTGTAATGCAAGGTAGTTATGACGGAACTGACTGTAGGTGGGATTATCATTACATCCTCCACATCTTCTTTGTTTGGCGAAGTACTCCTCTAAGGGATCCTGACAGAACTTCTCACTCAGAAGCATCTTGACACCGGGGATTTGGAGAAGAATCTTTCCCAATTCAACAAAGGAGTGAACTAGAAGAATCAATGTTACAAAAATTAGATATGGGATGATTAATTAACAATTAGACCTCAAGGGCAAGTGGACTATGTTTGATAGCCCATGAGGCCATTGTCCACAAGGCAGAGGTCTAATTGTTTTAGTCTAAACCTACTAATCAGTCAAATCAAAAATAAAACTTTAATGAATAGTTATAAGCCGAGGAATACCAGGTGAGAAATCCTAGAATAATTATTATTTCTAGAATTTGTGACCTGGTATT